TGTATCTCTCTCTAGCATTAAGACGTTTCTTTGTTTACTATTTCTACTCTTTATCTATGAAAATTTGCTAATAAAATATTGTTATGTAGCAGGGTTTTTAATTAAAAACTGAAAAATCAAATTTTCAACTGTTATTTTCTGTCTTTATTTACCTAATGAGCCTCGATCTAAAAGCATCCTTCTCTCGCAATGAGTCATTAATTTTAATTGAGAAAAAATACATTTTGAAATAATAATTGGCTGACACTGTTGACATACAAGATGAAATTGTCAAATCTTGTCAATGTTGCCAACTTAATCTCATAATCGCAGACCACTCTGATCGGCAAAAATGATGTTTTTCGCTATTTTGTTGTTCCAAAACGTTGATAGTGTGCGCCCTTGGTTGCAAAGAAGCGAAGTTTGTAGCTTTTCGTGGCGCGTTCGATTTCTATCACGTTCGAAATTATAAAAAAGTTTTTACGGCGTTTTTACACATGCAACACATTTTACACGCGACCGGATCGGTTTTAATTCGAAATCACGACACGAATCGATCGAAATTTTGATTTGAGAGCGGAAACGTCGGTGCGATTATCTCGGAATTTGAAAATTTAAAGGGGTAACATGTCTGGGGCATAAAGATATTTTATATCGTTTCGAAACAAAAGGCACGGAAGTCGATGCGAATAATTTACCTCTATCGGGTAAAAAAGAGGGTGCAATGCTACGACGTCTGCACCAAACCGAACAAAAGATTCATAAATCTCCGGTAATATAGTTGTCTAAATTGCTAATTTACTCTTTTATATTTCACTCTATAAATTTACCAACAAAGATACGATGCAAATTGCGGGACTGAAAGACACTGAAGCCGGACCTTGTAACCGTACTGAAACGAAAATAAACGCCAAACAAAAAATACATATCTATCAATGCAGTTTCAATGGATGCCAATTCGGCCGGAACATTTTTGTGTTGGCACATGCTGCTGTCATACACAATGTGGATTCAATTATTTTTTTTTTTTCAGACGACAATGAACGCAATTACGGAATTATACGCAAATACCTAATATCTTTACCGTTTTTTCAGCAAAGTCTTCATGTCGAAACAAATCTGTTGCTGAAAATGCTGAAAAAATTGCAATCTTTCGCCCGCTCTGCTGATACTGGAGCCAAATTTTATTTCCTTTTTATTTTATTCAAGAAACGATCAGTGTGACTTGGGCGGTTTGCGTTTTTTACATGTTTTTTCATATATTTTAGGTGTAGAAAAAAAAAGTTAATTAAAAATGACGTTCAATATGAATTTTTGACAACATTATTTAGAATTTCTCTTATTATTTGAAACTAGATTTTGTTACTATACTAATGTCAAAAATTACTTATATTTACTACCTATCTATCTACCTCTACCATTTTTTGATGTTTTAGATAATTTTTTTAGTTTTTAAGCAATATTTATTATTTTTATTTTTTTTTTACTTGAATTTACTTTTTCTGTATATTTTTTTTAAGTTTTAAGCAAAGTTGAAATGTAGTTGAAATAATAATAAATTTTTACAAAATAACTTCCAATTGTTTTCTTATTTGAAACTGTACTTCAACCACAACAAAATTTAAATAAAACAAGCCCGATTTTGTAACAAATTAATTCTGATTTTTGTTAAAAAAAAATCGCTTTTGTGATTATTGCATCAATTTAATTTTCAATATAAACAAAATTGCAATTAAACAATTGTCCAAATTAACGAAAATAAGCCCACATTAAAGGTTTGAGACTAATTTTAACATTTTTTAGTCTAAAATCAATGAAATTTTTCAAAAATAAGTAAACAAATTTATAAAAAATGATCTAACCCATAGAAATAATAAACTGAAATAGCCCAATTAGAGCCGAGTTTTGAGATACTTTCAACGAAATTTTATAAAATTAGTTTTTGATTAAAAAATTGTAGAATTTAGACTTTAAAAAAAAATCAATTACCATTTTGCTTTATCTTGTATAAATTTAATAAATTATTTAAGTTGAAAAATTGTTCAATAAAACAAAACGACAAAATATCATAGAGTATGACCCAACTGGAAAAAATAACTTGTATTATAATTTTATTAACTATATTTCACAATTTTTTTAACAAAACTTTTTTTCACATT